CCCAACAAGCACAACTACAGCAGCCTCAACAGAAACTTCCACAAGTAGCACTTCTTCAACTCCAACAACCACAGAACACCTCACATCTTTGACAACAGCTTCCACGCAGACTAGCAGTATCCCAACAAGCACAACTGCAGCAGTCTCTACAGAAACGTCCGCAAGGAGCACTTCTTCAACTCCATCAACCGCAGAACCCCTCACATCCTCAACATCAGCTTCCACATTGAGAAGCAGTAGCCCAACCAGTAGCACTGTAGCAGCCTCAAGAACATCTGCAAGTAGCACTTCTGTATTCCCAAAAAATACAGACACTGCAAAAGTTGCAACCTCATCTTCAAGCACTTTGTCATCCCCGGTGAAAAATACCATGTAAGATTTTTTTCATATTTGCTTTAGTGCTTTTTCCTCAATTTTTTTGGAATCCAGTAATTTTATTTTAACAAATTACATTGGTAATATTTATTTTTTGCTTTTTCATAATTTATTTTATGATGTATCACAAATTATATATATTGTTCATTCATTTGTTTGTTTGTTCATTCATGTTTTCAGTATTGGATCAGTAGTAATCAGAATCCAGTTCTTCTTCTATTTAATGAATGTTGCCAGTGAAAGCACGATACTTGCTATCATGAACCAGTTCCAACATTCACAAGTCAAAGGTCTGACTCAACCTCAGATGTCGCGGAATATAACTTATCAAAGTAAGTTTCTCTTAGGTCTCTAGCGCTTCACGAACAGACTTTGCTTATTATTATTTGTGAAATTCTTGGGAATGTTTACTTCACTCTATTAACATCCTTTCCTCTCCTTATTTTACCTTTATATGTGAATATGTTTTTTCTAAATATATGGAACATTTAAAGCTTGTTGACACAATAGCAGGACATAGTCAAGGCTGTAAATCAAGATTTATTATACTTTTTTTTAACTTTGTTTCAGAATTGTCTAATGGAGGCTTTGCCATCCAGTTTACTTATGTGATCAACAATGTGAACATGTCAGAAAATGTTCTGGACAGAAATGCGACTTATGGATTGGTCCAGGACTCCATCAACAGTCTGGTGAGAACATTAATAATTTCATATGTAACTTTGAGTTTGAAATGTCATGTGGTTATTCCTATATAATACTTATTGTGCTGTCATGTACGGCTTTTTGATTGAATCTTTTTGTGTTTTATTCTTCATGAATCTTCAAACCACAGTTGAACTCAATATTGCAAAAACCAGATGCTAATCCTTTTAAATTTCCACTTGCAAACTACACGTAAGTGTTATTTTTAACAAAAAAAAAAAACCATTGTGCCAATATATCACATGCACTATATTGCCAAAAGTATTGGGGCACCTGCTTTTACACACACATGAACTTTAATGGCATCCCATTCTTAATACATAGCACTAAACAGGTATAATGGCTTCAACTTTTCTGGGAAAGCTGTCCACAAGGTTTAGGAGTGTGTTTATGGGAATTTTTGACCATTCTTCCAGAAGAGCATTTGTGAGATCAGGCACTGATGTTCACGAGAAGGCCTGGCTCCCGGTCTCCCCTTTAATTAATCCCAAAGGTGTTCTGTCAGGTTGAGGTCAGGGCTCTGTCCAAAATGGCTTAGAATGCTGCAGCATTAAGAGTTCCTTTCACTGGATCTAATGAGCCAAGCCTAACCCCTAAACAACAACCCCACACCATAATCCCCCCCTCCACCAAACTTTACACTTGGCACAATACAGTCAGGCAAGTACCGATCTCCTGGCAACCGGCAAACCCAGACTCGTCCATCGGATGGCCAGACTGAGAAGCATGATTCGTTTCTCTGGAGAACACATCTCCACTGCTCTAGAGTCCAGTGGTGGCATGCTTTACATGCTTTACAGCACTGCATCTGAAGCTTTGCATTGCACTTGGTGATGTAAGGCTTGGATGGAGCTGCTCGGCCATGGAAACCCATTCCATGAAGTTCTCTACGCACTGTTCTTGAGCTAATCTGAGGGCCACATGAAGTTTGGAGGACTGTAGCTATTGACCCTGCAGGCAGTTGGTGACTTCTGCACACTGTGCGCCTCAGCATGCGTTGTCCCCAGTCTGTGATCTTACGTGACCTACCACTTTTTGGCTGAGTTGCCATTGTTCCCAATTGCTTCCACTTTGTTATAATATCACTAACAGTTGACTGTGGAATATTTAGTAGTGAGGAAATTTCACGAATGGACTTATTGCACAGGTGGCATCACGGTACCACGCTTGAATTCACTGAGCTCCTGAGAGCGACCCATTCTTTCACAAATGTTTGTAGAAGCAGTCTGCATGCCTAGGTGATTGACTTTATACACCTGTGGCTATGGAAGTGATTGGAACACCTAAATTCAATGATTTGGAGGGGTGCCCCAATACTTTTGGCAATATAGTATATACGTTCATTCACTCCAAATTTGAAAATGAAATTTATTTTTGCATTACAAGTGTACATTTACATTCATTTGTTTTTTCTGTTCTTTTAGGAGTCAGAGTAACCAAATAGTGGCTAATATAGACTACGTCTTTAAAGATGGAGATATTAAGAATCCAAGTGGCTTCCTCCTTGCAATCTTGGAATCCACTGGTATGTTTCACGTGACAACATTGCCACTTAGACTCTATCAATCAATAACTGTCCCCAGCACTAAGAAGGGCTTGAACTACACATTTGCTATGCATGTTGGATGAGGTCCAAATCAAAACTAACATAAATTTGACACTACACTCCGAAAGCCATGAGAATTTGTGGATCGTAAAAGTCATTCCATAAATAATGCCTCAATATTGCACCTCCAGGCTCGTTGAGTACCACCACAACTGTACCGCTCACCACTGGGGCAAACATCACCCACGTGGGAGGTGGCTTTCCTGGCTGGGCTTTGGCCATTATCATCCCATGTGGAGTCATCCTCCTGCTCATCCCCTTCTGGATTATTCTTTGTGTAAGTATGAGAACATTTTTGTGGTTACTGTCTTTGTGAGCTCCTTACCTGTGTGTGATGGCTGTCATTCCTGACTGACATCCCTCTCCTCCAATCGCTCGCAGTGTCTGCTGTGTGGCTGCTGTGCAGCTAAGAAGAAGCAGAACTACAACATTAACTACAGGCTACACAACGCATAACGAGGTAAGAGTTGTTTCATAATATGAATGTTATGTCTGCATGTGTGAGTGCGCACTGCGGTGAGTGGGCACCTTGTCCTGGGTTGCTCCCTGCCTTATGCCTATAGGACAAGTGGGCGCAACAAATGGATGGATAGCTGGATTGTGTCTTTTCCTTGGGCTCCCTGAATTTCCCCCACATGCACTGTTTGATGAAATGGTTTCTGGACGTATCCCATGGTGTGTCTGTCCTGTGATGTGAC